TGTGTGAGTGTATAGGTATGGATGTGAAGAATAGAAGACTCGAATCCACATTCACACCTCACATTAACACCCTTGATCCATTGATTTTTGTCATTCGAGATTGGTTGGTTGTGGATCGAAGAAATTTTTTAAGAAAAACGTTCAGAAATTCATTTCCTCGAACGAAATCCAAATGAATAAAAGTCATTTCACAATTTCATCATTGATGTCCAAAACTGAAGGATTCGTTTATTTGTCGTTTACGATCATACGAAAATGCTCAAATGGATTTTTATCCTCTGGCAATCATTTCTACGTGTCGTTTCTCGATTTCATTAAAGACATGTAATCCAGTTTAGATTCGACAAATGCAAAACGAGTTTTATTGATTTATTTTTGTCAAAAAAATAGTCTTCTTTTTGAGATTTTAATGTTTGTCAAATACTATCTATTCGATTAATTTTTATTTCAAACAGAAAAACGAAGTAGTCGTTTTGATACAAAATCATTTGAAATTCGATTCAAAAATATCATTTGACCCAGACACAATTATAGAAGCGACTTTTATTTCTTCTACAAAAAGCTACCTGCTGAAGAATAACAGATAGAATCGAATATTATTGTTTCATCATCTTTATGATCGTGTGAAAGTGAAAATAGTGACGTCTTCACTCTTGTTAACATTCCTAAACTTTATACTGTTACCATAAGTCGTCTCATTTAGTTTAGAATTTAATCTCAGATTTAAGCACTTATTACGAATGACAAAAGAAGTAAATAATTGCTTTTTCATTAGGAATAAATAAAAATAAAAGCAAACATATGATTTTCAAGTATCATTCGAATGGTTAATAGAGACTCAGATAAACATTCAGTGAATAAGTAGGGAAGTAATAAATACCATATGGAAATTTGTCCATTTGTACAATTTTGCTTGCTAAAACAATTTGAGAATTTAACTCATAATTTCAGAATATCTTCGTGAAAGTTATCTTGATGACGAACGATACGCTTGGACTGGATGCATCACAATGGTAAGCGCAATAATAAGATAAAAGGTTTTCGTTTTTCTCTTTCTATAAGTAAATGTTTATTAGAAGATCCCTGATCTTCTATTGTGAGAAATGCGGATTACAATTATATTTGAGATAAAATTTTAGTGTTTGGTCTTACCTACTCAGATCTTTTTGTGTGTTTTTGAGCTCGAATCAGACAAATACTCACTATATCACAAATAGTGCTAAAAAAAATACACAATTAACGGAAAATACTTGTATATATTCTTGATCATACTACACTTTGCATATGAAATATGTAAAAGTTTTAAAAATTACTCTTATTTATATTTTAATCAATGAAAGAATAGATGATATCGGATGTTGATACGTTACTTTAAGAATTATTTTGACTATTCGAATATTTATTTATGAATAATCTTTAAAGATGTGCACGTTTGCACGGAAATGTTTTTGAATTGAATAAGTCTATGTCGAAAACTAAATACTATTACGTGACCTGACTTGCTCTCATACGCTAACTTTGTACTCGTTTCTCAAACTATTAAAGTCAAAACGTAATTGATAATAGTGTTGATTTCAAGAAAATACAGTTCTTTGAAAAATGGAACAGGTCCGTGCCCTTTTACTTTTTCTTCTAATGAAATATATTATATCATTTTTATTAAAATTATTTGATTCAAATTTTCAGTTTAATCAAGGAAATTGACAACTGTCGATTCTGGTGTGTATTTAGCATTTTATCATATTTTTCGCATAATAATAAATAAATGATCACCGATAAAGAAAATCTTCAGTAATTTCTTTTTGCATTTGTACTTAAGAATAGAAATATTCATCAGGCAATTATTCAATATAATAAGAAATGAGTTTTCTTGCAACTAAAAATTCAATAAATAGTTGATCATCATAAAAACAGTCATATTTTAATGGTTTAATTCTTTTTCTTCGTATATCTCAATATCATCTTAAAATTTTCTTTCATGTTTTTAGATTTTTTTCAAATGTTTCGAACAAAATAAAATGAAATTTTCTTTAAATGAACGATGCTTTATTTGGAGAAAAAGAATAAAGTCACGAACATATGACTATACTTATGATGATCAACTATTTATAGGATTTTAGCTTCAAGAAAATTCATTTCATATTTTTGCACGTATTCTATTGTGATATTGATAAATGTTGTCAATGTTTTTGAAGGTGTCAAGTCAAAATATTGGATTTCATACATGGTTAATCTCAATGTTTCGAAGAATAAAATTTTAAATCACATTTGATTTGTTTTCATTTGCAAATCTACTATTTTTTTTGTGCTATGCATGTGACTGCTGTGAGTATTGAAATGTTATAACGAATCTTCTAAAACAGGCAAACATTGTTCTTCCTTGCTTGCTTTTTTTACAGTCCAAACTAAACAAGAAAAAATTTTTAACACTGTACATGGATCACATATTTGTAAAGATAAGTAACAGAAATAAGACTCAGTGTTTTATTTTTAAGTAAAACTAAGAAGATGCAAATCTATCGTTCACTCAAACTTATGGCTGCAAATAAAGGAGAGTTAAGGTTGAAAGGTTATATTGTATAGCACCTCGAAAATATTTCCATCGATTAAAATTGAAAAGTAATCAAATCAATTTTTACTTTCAAACTTATAGAGAAAAGGAACAAGTGTTATTGAAATGAAGTTGATAAGAAGAGTAAGAAATAAACTTTTTGTTTTCATCTGATGTAGAACTTTTATTATTAATGTTCAATCGTAGTATGAATAGTTGTTTTTCTATTAGTCTCTATTGAAATAGAATCAGCTGTTAATATCTAACAAAACAATGAATATGTTGGCAAAAACAAAAACATACTAAACTTGTAAATCAATGAAAAATTAGATCAATGTGTATAAGAAAAGAAAGTAGTATATCTTGATAGAATTCTGTCCCAACGTATATCGTAGCATATGAGAATTTCTTCTACAATTGATCGAATTTCATTCTTTTTTAGATTTCATTGAAATAATATTGGATAAAATTGTATTTAGAATGAATGGTTCTCTTTCCTTATCACAGAGATTTCGATGGTCAGTAGAAAATTCACTAACGTTGAATGAAGATGGCACACGACGCTTAGCCATCAAGCAAAATGGTGTTCTGGGCTCTTTTTATGATGCAAGAATATATCGAATACTTAATTAGTTACCATTGGATCAAACTTCTACAACTAAAATATCCCTAAGTGAACCAATTCGATGTAGCATGATGAATCGTGACACATTTGATAGTTAAAACTTATTTCGTGACATTCGTATTCATGATGAACTATGGCGAAATATTATATGAAATATCGCACCCGATGAAGAAATACTTCCATTAGTTAATTATTCATTTTCAAACGATAAAAATACCCGATTTCTCTACTGTTGTTATTCAAGTCGACATGAATCGATTCAGTTTCATCCAAAGATTGTTAGAACGCGTATTCCAAAAGAGATACCAAAATCCGTGCAACTCACATTATTTCAGGAATCAAATTAGGGATTCACGTGTTTGTCGTATTACACCTATCTTCTTCTGATGATGAAACTTCTCTTGATAAATTACTCGACAAAATATGCGAAAGTTTAAAAAAGAATAAGTTTGAATTAACCATAGAAGAGAAAAGCTCACTGAGTCGAATCAAGGTTACCAAAATATTCTCTAATATACCTAATCTAATCGAAATGAACGAATTTGCTAGAATATATGAAGTAATAACTATACAAAAGCCACATGTTTATTGTCATCATCGATTGGAATATAGTTTTCGTGACATCAAATGGTTTTATTCTAACTATTCTACCAAGGAAGCTAAATTTATTAGGCTTGAACCCTCATTTCATAAAAGTATCATAAAATATTTGCTTCAGTTATCATCTCAAAGAACAGAGTTAAATATTCTCATTGAACTAGAAGAAAAAAACACAACGGAAGAACATTCTAAAGCAGAAGTAACGAATCCACTAGATTTCGACTAAATTCGTGATTTGGTTGTGAAAGTTCGAACGGGAATAGTTTCACATGAGAAAGCTACGATAGTTCTCGCCAAAAACTGCGATTAGTTATTGCAAAATAAAATTAACAGTCCTGGGAACCATTTTTTGGATAATCAGAACCTTTTAAACGATTTCAAACAAAAAATACCAAAGATTCAAATATTTCAAATCAGCAACCGAACACTATCGATAAAGCAATGAAGCCAGTAAAATCACCAGTATCGCCGCCAAGTGAAGGCGATATTTCTACATCAAATGAACAAAAACAGACCAATCTATCCTATATATCATCAATATTTGTGCCCGAACTCGTACAATCATCAAAAGAACAATCAAACGACAATGAATAATCGTTGAGTCCATCAAAATTGAGACAATCTTCACAATCAATTTTTTATTTTTATGTCACCTATTGATGAGCATGATAATAAGTTATTATCTTCGTCAACTCCTAATTTTATCAATATCCTTCTTCTCGGTGAATCTGGTGTAGGTAAATCAACATTCATCAATGCTTTTTTTAATTACCTCCAATTTGAAACATTTGAAAAAGCTCGTTCAAGTGAACCTATAATACGCATGCCTATCTCATTTCTTATGACAGTTGGTGTTCATTTTGAGGAACGAATTGTTAAATTTGATGATGCTGACTCTAATGAAAATCATATATGTTTAAGATTGATGTTCAAACTAGTTTAAGAATAATTGATACATCAGGAATGGGTGATACTCGTGGTCTTGATCAAGACGATCTCAATATGCAACATATTTTGTAATTTATCAATAATCTGTCACACTTGAATACCATTTGTATACTTCTTAAACTGAATGAGTGAAAACTGAATATTGTTCTTCGATCATATTTCACTTGTTTATTTAATTTTCCTGGTGAAAATGCTCGCCATAATATTGTCTTTTGTTCTACGAATACTCGAGCAACATTCTTTGCTCCAAGTGATACTGCTCCACTACTCAAAAAGATGATTAATAATCTACCAACTAAAGACATTGCATTCAACAAATCGAACACTTGTCGTTTCGATAATGAATTGTTTCGTTATTTGATTGTTCTTCGAAATGAAATTCAATTTGATACATATGAAGAAGAAGAATATCGAACAAGTTGGACAGATTCAGTAGCTGAATCGAATCGTCTTTTTAAACGGATTTTTGAAGAACTGAAATCTTATCTTTATACTGAATGGCAATCCATTGAACATATACAAATTAAAATCAACCAAATGATTCGTCCAACGTCAGAAACAATATAAAATACTATTCGAAATATGATATTACTAGAAGAAAAGTTATCAAAAACACAAATAGCGCTTCATCCTATCGTTGTTTCACAATCTTCAGGTATTTGTTATGAGTGCAAACGTAATCCTAAGCAATTCAGCAATCTTAGGATTCTACCTGATAATGTACATTTAGTTTCTGACAAATGTGACGATTACGATTGTAGTCGTAAGAAACACATTGATGTCAACTATACACTTGAATATGAACTTACGTATAATGTGGATGAGCAATGTATCGTTGAAATGAAGATGAATTCCAATCAACTTAGAGAAGTTGTTTTCGAGTTTGTTCACTTTTATGTCTATGTTTCCAATATTTCAAAACAAAAGGATCTTCTCTTGACTGCTCTCAAGCAAATAATTGCTGAGGAAAATCAAATTTGTTCAGAAAAAAAGCTCTCAGTGTCTGAATTCAAATTTACGAAATATACTGATTAAATTAAGAGAAGAATATGAAAAGAAGCGGAGTACATTAGTATTGAATTGTCCAACTGTCGATGTACCGAACATATATGAACTGATCCAAAATATTAGTGTGATCGACGAGTTGAAGAAGCAATTGTATATTATCAAACAAAGTCAAGAAAGTTGTCTGAAACAGCATGAAAAGAAGATTTCATGCAAACTTGTATGAATTATTATCGATAACTCTAATAAAAGTCTCCACATTTTATTTTGGGCTTGAATAATGTGATATCTTAATCATGACCCGAACTAGTCCAAACATTTCTTTTTCATGATTATATATGAATCCTCTTTGCGTCTCGTATTAATTTACAAAGTTATTTATTTGTTTTTTGTATACCTGAATGAAAATAAAATATAATTCACATGTTCCTATCGTCGTTTTATTGTTCCAAACTTTCCAAATCAAAGATATATGCAATTATTTAGAAATAACTATTTATTTCTCCAGGCAAAGTGTATGAATACTAATTTGTTATTATTGCCTTATTTTAAATCTATACGGAAAAGTAGAAGCAACAATAATACAAGGATCACGAATATCAAACTCAAACAGTCGTAATAACGTTTTAAAAATCACAAAGTTTATTGCCATGTCTACCAATGTTATGATCGGCATCTTGTTCAAATGCAGTCATAAGAATTGTTCCAAGTTATCGTTTTATATACAGTGTGGTCTAAAAGTAATTCGGCAGTCCTAAATTGCGAATAATTCTTGTTCTCTTTTTATAATTAAAGTTTTTTTTTTTCGTATCGTTTTGTCATATCTCTCGATCATTTATCTCTAGTCGATTCGTCGTCGCTTCTTATTCAAGTACTCTTGTAGCATCTGTTCTTCTCCTTATGTTTTCTTTCCTTTTATTCTGTTCCTCTCTCCTGTTTCAATACATTCCTCTGGATGAACATGAAACATTAATAAGTGGCACGATATGAATGAGAGGGGAGTGTTTTGAAAAAGAGAATGGGAAACATATTTTACTACTGCTTAGCTTGTTTTTCTTTTGTTTACGGGTGTATAGGTTGTGTTCGGTGCAGAGAATAAAGCTAATACTCTTATCTAGTGTTGTTTATTTTCGACTCATATTGTGCAGCATCTTAAGGTACATCCGGTGATGATCGAAAGTATTGAACATAAGCTGACTACAGAACAACGGGTGTTTGTGGTAAAAACTTTTAATCACGCGAACAACACGAGTGAGACATGTCATCGTTTCGATGAACAGTTCAATGGTCAAATCAGACATGAAACTGTTGCAGATATTGTTGATCGGTTTGAAGAAAACAGTGCAGTTGATGAGAAGAAAGGACCAAATTGACCAACTGTTGGTAGAACAGCAGAAAACAAAGCTGCTGTGAAATCTTTTTTTGAAACGATCCCACAGCATCAACAAGACATTTTGCATCTGGCTTGCTAGTGCGCCCATATTGTCTGCGCTTAGTGCAACACTTGAATGATGATGATCATAATCGAAGGAATGAGTTTTACGAAAAACTACTAATGATGGTTGAAGAATATGACAGCATCCTTGATAAAATAATTTGAACAGATGATGCAATTTTCAAACTCAATGGACACGTCAACAAGCATAATTCAATTTACTGGGCATCCGAAGATCCTTCTATCGATATCGAAAGAGACTTCAACGTACTTGGCATCTCTGTTTGGATAGGCCTGTCATCGTATAGTGTTACTAGTTGATTTTTCTTTAGTTCCAATGCCACTAGCGATAGCTACGTAGAAATGTTACAGAGTTATTTTCAGCTCGTCAGCACTGACCGGTCCGATTTGAGCGACTTCTGATATAAAGACGATGGTGGGCGTTCCAGTTCACTACAGTCGAATTGCTTGTAAGTATTTGAATGAGATGTTTCCTGCATAGGTCAACAGATTTCAACCAACTTGTATAAGAAAATCTGTCGGTCCGTGGAATCCCGCCTTCACAACGGCATTCAAACTGACGGTTTGCACTTCGAACAAGATTATTAACGGATTATAATATATACCTTGAATACAATCTTATCCGATAGAGACGATAAATTTCAGATGAATAGATAGCAGAGAACAAAAGTTATCAGTAATTAAAGATTATCGGATGGTTTTTCGGCTACTGCATCCTATGTCACTTTGACAGAAGTATCATTGTTTTTCCGAAGATCGTCGACTGGTTATGTTGTGACCAATCAACGTTGTTAAATAATACCTAATACTATGCAGTGGCATAGACTCTTTCTAATGGTGAAAACCGCAGCTCTCTATGTTGTTCCTATCAAAAGTTATTCGGAATTAAAGATTGCCGGGTTACTTTTGAACCACTCTGTATTTGAAAGGAAGAATAACAAAACAAAACAGAAACTGTGAATGTTTATATATAATATAAAGTTAATAGGAAGAACCTTGATCAGACAAACACAAAGAGCAACCGTACCAAAAACAAGAAGATCGAGCATCCATAGATAATACACATATATGTTGTATCCGTGCAGAAAAAGTATCCAATTTACATAGCTACTAATACGCAACCGTTGAGATTTGTCTACCCATCACGAATTACTATCTGTACTGAAACCATTGAAGCATGAGTTGTCATATTTTTCCATCTTGAAAGTAAGCATGAGTAAGAGATACCATGACTAAGATTTCGAGCCTGCTCAAAAGTTCTCATCAGATGACTTCCATTCCATACCTATTTTATAATTGGATTCAACAGAGCAGCTTATTCTTCTCCCGTAGGACATCTGTTGAGATCAAGAAATTGAGAAGAGAAAAAAAATTATTCTTTAAGTTTTGAACCAGAACAGTCACTACTCTGGAACCCATCCTCAAACACACACCTGTATTTCGAGTATAAGAGATACTTTTTGCATTATGGTCGACCTTCAAAGTAGCACCATTGAATGGAAAATCGAATTCTGCACCTAGCACAATCTCTTTCAGGCACAATTCAGATGGTATAGTGAATCTAGACAAAAAAAAGCCAAATATAGTGTCAATTTTACTTACGTCACTCTGACAGTGTACCATCCATAAAAGTAGTCTTTTTTTTCTCTCGACGTTAACAGAACAGAAAAGAAAAAAAATCTACAATAATCGTGGTTATCATTTGCTTAGTCAGAATGACAATTTCGAAATAACGTATTCATTATTCAAGGACACGTTAGAGAAATGTCGATGAAGGTTGCCTCCATAATGGAGATGAATGGTGTAGAAAAGGTTTTTTGTGCACATGGTGGTTGGGTGACCATTGCACATGCTGCTCATTTGACTGGCGATCCTTCGATACTGGCTGAAAATGTTACTCAAGTTCTCCAATGTTTACTCAAACGACATCCTCGCATGCGTTCACGCATTCGAGCCGACGGCAACCAATATCTACTCGAGACACTCGAATACGAAAATAATAAGCTATCTGTTGACTCATTTTTTTCCATTGTCAGAACAACGAATGAATCTTGGCAACAAATCGTCGAAAATCGATGTAATCAAAACCCATATTCGAATATGAATACAATCATTTTTCCACTGTTTCATTTCATGCTTTTCTTCAATCTTCAAAACTGTGAATCATCCGAGAATAATCTCTTTCATTTGATTCTCTACACAAATCATTGCGTATCCGATGGTCGAAGTGGATATGTGCTTATCAATGATTTTTTAACTTTGGCCACCTCGTCAAATTTACACGAACTTTCAGAACCAATCAATACAGAAATACTACCATTTATTGGTCAACTCATACCCCGCCCATATGGTCCTCTCTATCCTCTAATATCATTCATTGGCAAACATAATTTAAAACAAAGCCTTCGCGATTTAAGACAACCATGTATTCCGGTCAAATCGATTCCTCTTACCGACTGTGAACTAACAGCATTGCATGTTCAACCACACAAAATTAGATTTCTTTTTTCATCAAGTGCTTCTAATCTCTATTTGAATTTACATGAGCAATGTCGTTTACACGAAGTTACATTACATGGCCCATTGGTCAGCTGTCTTCTACTTGCTATTCATCATTGCTTTCCACTTGATGACAACGATCAATTAAATCCATTTGAAATCGAGATGGATTTCGATATGCGCTCACATCTTCCACAATCATCTCTAACATTTTCGTCTGTGGGTTTCTTTGTTGGAGCGAGCGATTTTTCTCTTGATCATTCATTATCAATTCGTTCTACTCGATTTTGGTCACTAGCACATCGATGTATGATAACAACTCGTAAACAATTAAAGCGAAACGGTGTTCCTCTATCAATGAATATCTTTTGTGATATAATGCGAGATGAACATCTATGTAATCAGATTACCCGACTTTTTCCTGAAGGACGCATGTCAGAATTTGATTTTTCGAATATTGGTAAATATCCATTTTCGTGTGACTATAATCAAGGGAAAATACAACTACATGGTATGCATGTCATTAATAATGGAAGTGTTTATCATTCGTCATCAACATTGTATATCACTTGTGTCGGTGATAGGCAATTAGACTTTTCCTTAGCACACGAAATGGAAAGTGAAGAGAAAGCGAAAGAATTTCTCAACTTTTACATACGTTTAGTCGAAACATGTGCCAATCGACAACGTTGTCAAACTGAAACAACTCTAGATCAACTGTTCGCTATGGTTGAGTAATAGTAAACATGAACTCTACAACATTTTTTGCTTGTCTTGTTCATCCATATCGAAACTCTCGATTTTTCTCTTCACCATCAATGTAGATATGAACAAGAATACTACAGCATAGGAAAAAATATTTTTCCAGGGGATAATACTATGGTTTGAAATAGTACCTATAACAAATTGTATACTAAATTAAAGCGCGTCGAAATGGGATTTATCGATGCTAAAAAGTAAAGATTATGGCAACTTTTTAGTGTTGAATTTAAGAAATTCCCAGAATTTCACACCATTTTCACATTGAAAAGATTAATTTCATGAGGCAGTTCAAACTAGATCTCATTTCAAATGAAAGGATAGCACAAAGTACTAATTAGTTTCACCTATGTTTACCTGTCAACCAATATTTACAGTTTTTATGAAAAACAATCGAGATGCTAGAAGTCTACGAACAATAAATGCCCACTACGTATTCCTATACCACGAAATCAATTAACATTAATGAGCTAAGAAATAACTTAGAGATTAAACAAGACTTCTAGCATCTCGATTGTTGTTCAAAAAAACTGTGAATATTGGTTGACAGGTAAACAGAGGTGAAACTAGTATTTGAATCATAACTCCATGCCTTCTCAGTCAATAAAGGTCGGCTTGGTGCTGGCGATCACAGTTTTTTAAGCTCTATCTCTGGTAAAAATTTGATGGAAAATTATCGAAGCCGTGGGGGACTATCACACATCCAGGAACTTATGGCCAGTAGTGTAGGTGAATATGTATAATTCTATAGATAAAGAGGAAAAATCCTTATGACTTCATCTGAAGAAGATACAGATCATAATAGACCTCAATGTTAAAATAGTTGTAACCTTAATTCAATCAGACATACTTATGAAATATTCAAAACATAGGAGGAATGTGTGGTGTCATTTTAGTGCGCAACGATGATACTTGATATATGATGTAATACGATTAGCACTAGTTTTAAATGACAAAGAATGATTTTGTTACAATATGAAGAGTATCATTCAATTCAGAATGATCGAAAACCTAAGTATTAATTTATAGACATAGAATTAAGAAAACTTGAAAAAATAGTCACGAAAGGTTGTTTCGAGCATTTTTGACAGTCAATGTTAAATGTATAATTTTTGAAGAAAAGAAAACAAATATTTCGGATTTATGCAGACTTGTAGATCTTGAATACACGAATCTAATGGACTCCTTACAGTTGAGATTTCATACAATTTTTGCGGCGCTTTACATGCTTCTATAAATTCCATTGACTGTTCATCAAAAGTATAAGCTGGATTTATTAACTATCATATAGAAAGATGTAGAATGCTCGTCTCTTTATAATGGTGAAAACTACAGACCGAGAGCTATTTCCGCTGGGAACTTATTCAAAAAACAATCACTCTTCTTTTATTATGAAACGGATAATAGCTGTTGAGATTATCATTGTCTATATCATCTTCAGATATGATTGATAAGTTAAAAACAATTTAAAATCATCCACCAATTTTTTTGGCAAAATTTCTCCGCATGTTTATCAAAAACATTTTTCATTTTCAAAAGAGTTCACTAATGATCATTGTAAATTGTTTTGAGCAAGCATTTTATGATAAATTCCACGTCGTTGTATCAATTCTGTATGAGGACCATTCTCGACTATATGTCCCTAATCAAGTACACAAATCGAATCGCATGAACTAATTGTTGAAAGACGATGAGCAACAATGAGTGATGTTCGAGTAGGATCCTCTGTGTGTGCATGTTCAAGAGTTTCTTGTACAATCTATAATTGAAAAATGAAGATGAAGCTTTAATTGATAAATAGAAAAAGAAACAAACTTACTTGTTCATTATGTGGATCCATTGCACTTGTAGCTTCATCCAAGAGTAATACTTTAGGTCGACGAAGAAGAATTCGAGCAATGACAACACGCTGCTTCTCACCGCCTGATAGAAAACTACCCTTCAACCCTACTTTTGTTTCATAACCCTAAAATAATTATTATACAGTAGTAATATATACATAATATAATTTTTTGTTGTTTCATCTGAAGCAATTGGTCAACGAATTGATAAATATTAGCTTTACCTGCTGCATTAATAATGTCTTCCATGGGAATATTTTCTAAACCATATGCTATATTTTCAGCAATTGTTAAATCAAACAAAATTGGTTCTTGACCGACAAGACCGAAATGAGAACGAATCGAATGAAGGTTTAGTTTTCGAATATCAATGCCATCAAGAAGCTAGATTAAATGAATAAATTTTATATGACTTCGTAAACTATACATTGAACAAATACTTACTACTCGACCACTTGTAACATCATTGAATCGTTCCAAAAGTTGAATAATTGTTGATTTTTCACATTCAGATGTTCCTGCACAGGTTATATTAAATAATTCAAATTTAAAAGAAACCATTTATTAAAACATACCAACAAGAGCCACACGTTGATCTTATCAGTGAATAAGAATATTTAAAAAAAAGATGAAATTGAAACTTATCTTACTCACTTGGCTTGATATTCAATTGAAATTTGTTGAAAATGATAGATGTTGGCCGACTTGGATAAATAAATTTGACTTGATCAAATTTAATCTCCTCACGAAAATCAACATACGCGACCCATATTGTACCCATGATGTACATGTTTGAAAGAAAATAGTTTTCGTCTATGTTCTCTTACCAATTCTTGCCCTTCAGTAGATGTATTGTCGATAGCTGGTTCTCGATCAAATAAATCAAAAAACGTTTCAGCAGCCGAAATTGATTCAGCGATACGATAAGATCTAGAATTAGGAAAGTAGAAGAAAAACAAGCAAAGTATAGATTGAGTGTTACGAAAATCCGATGATTTTCAATGCCTACATCGCAAAAACAACAAAAGAGAAGGTTCTAATAAATTGAAAAGATGATGAAGTATTGGTTATAGATTATCAAATTATGGTTAGACTTACATTATAATATGATTCGATGTGAGTTCATTCTTTTCAACAAGGATGAGACCACGCCAATAGACAAATGCCAGTGTATAATTCTATTGCCAAATATATACTATATATCCCTGTAGAAAATATCGAAGGTTTCAAATATAGCCTATGGCAAAACAAAGTTGCTTAAAAATTTATATATGCATAAGATTCGATTGACTAACAGAAATACTTTATCAATAAGTTCAGAATATGGTCGTAAAACTTCCTTTTCTATTGACAACTGTTTTATCGTACGCATATTGTGAATAACTTCAACAGCAAGCTGTAAAAGTAAAATACGAAGTGAATATGGTCCATTCGATTTATCAAACAATTCACGATAAGCTAATTTTCTCTGCAATAAAAAGATGTCAAGGTAAAGGTTGCACTTACTGTACTTGCTCGTTCAACGATTTGACCAGATTGTTGATGCAGCCATATACGTAAAGACACATCTCCATAGGTGGCTACGGATACAATAAACAGATTACCAAAAACGATCAATGTTAATTGCCAACTTATGATATATCCAAATAGAAATCCAAAAGCCGACATTGCAAGAATTTGACAGATGGTACTTAATCGCGTACCAATCATCTCTTGAATGGCTAATACATCAGAAGAAAGTCGAAAAAAAATTGCACCAGAACTATTTTCAGGTCGATCAAAATAAGCAACTTCTTGACGAAGAAGGCATGCAAAAGCTTTCGAACGAATTCGTTTAGTTAATTTCGATCCTGCTATGGCAAAAGCAGTATACTACNATATTTTCAGCAATTGTTAAATCGAACAAAATTGGTTCTTGACTGACGAGACCGAAATGAGAACGAACCCACTGAATATTTAGTTTTCGAATATCGATGCCATCAAGAAGCTAGATTGAGTGGGAAAATATAATAGATTTATCTAAACTAAAAATTAGTTGTTGAAGAAATACTAAACTATTCGGCCATTTGTAACATCGTAGAATCGTTCTAGTAGTTGAATAATTGTTGATTTTCCATATCCGGATGCACCTGTACAGATCATATTATGTAGTTAAGACTTGAAAGAAAAACATTTAAATCCAACTTACCAATAAGAGCCACACGTTGACCTTATGATGGAATGAAAATTAATGAAACTAGGATTAAATTGGTTACTTGCCTCACTTATTCATGCCATGTTTATCCATGAAGAAAATAGTTATTTTCTATGTTCTCTTACCAATTCTCGTCCTTCCATAGATCCGTTATCAATAGCAGGTTTTCGATCAAATAAATCAAAAAATGTGTCAATAGCTGAGAATGATGCAGCGATACATTTAGACCTACAAAGAAGACGGTGGAAAAAATGATACAAACTTAAGAATGAGAATGTTACATCATTCCAACAACTTTCATTGTTTGCATTGTAAAAAACGCAAAAGAGCAGGCCCTAATAGCATACAAAGATAATCCAAGCATTTTTTCTGGATTATCAAAATTTAGTTTCAATTACATTATAATATCGTTCGAAGTGAGTACATCGTTTTCGACAAGAATGAGAGCATGCCAATACACAAAAGCCATAATGTATGCATCCAGCATCCAAAAACTGCCATGTCCCATGGAAGATATTAATAAAATTTTTTTAGACAACCTATGACAAAATAAGATTGATGTAAACTTTATAAATGTATATGTTTCGATGGACTTACTTGAATACTCGATGAGCATGTTCCGAATATTGTCGGCACACTTCACTTTCTATTGACAACTGTTTTATTGTACGCATATTATCAATAACTTCAACAGCAAGCTACCGCAGTGAAAAACAGGACAAATATAGTACATTTGATTTATTTATCAACTCATTATAGAATGATGATCGCTGCAAAATAAATCTTCATCTACCACTGATCTTACCGTGCTTGCTCGTCCGACAATGGGATTAGATTTTTTATTCAGCCATTGATTTAAACGCACATTCACATAAACGATTACGAATACGAAAAAAAGAGAACCAAACACGATCGCTGCTAACTGCCAACTGATAAAACATCCAAATAGAATTCAAAAAAAACACAGTGCAAAAGCTTCACAGATTATTCCTAATCGCGAACCAGTCATCTCTTGAATCGATGCTGTATCAGAAGAAAGACGATTACTAATCGCACCAGAACTATTTTCAGGTCGATCGAAGTAAGCAACTTCTTGACGAAGAAGGCATGCAAAAGCTTTCGAACGTATACGTTGTGTCAATTTCGATCCTGCTATGGCAAAAGCTGTGTACTACAAAAAAGAGTGAATTAGTCATGGATGAATTTCAGAAGCAGCATTTTTACCTGAAAGAAGCGAAGAATCAATAAAAGAACACTCATCAGTAAAAATTGACAACTTCTAATAAACACTTGATGACTTTGTTCAGAGTTTGAACAACTTTTAAATGCCTATACAATAAACAAATCGATATAAATGTAAATGTATACACTGTAAATATCTTTGTACGATATTTATATGTATGAATCACTCACACTGATTATATTAGTGAGTAGAAGTGCAAACATAGGTTGAGCGGCTCCATTTAGTACACACGCTATAGAACCAATTAAGATGGTGATCCATTCCGGACTATTCATTGATAAGAGTCTCAACAAAGCATATCTTTCTGTGAATGACTTTAATGTTGGCTAAGAAAATAAGATTATCAGTTATAGTTTTAATAAGTAACTGCGCTAGCGTTTATACTTGGCTCACAGCAGCAGTTTGAATGTCGTTAAGTAAACGAGACCGCTCCACTTTTGAAGAAAAAAAGGCAAAACAAATGCAAACTGTTACCATTAGAATATTAACATACATATCAATTTTTCATCTTCTTCTTCTGCTCTTTGTATGTTCATCATATTATCGTCTTCATCATCAATTCCTTGCGTTTGTTGATGTTTGACCATCGTTTGATATTTGCCTCCTTCTTTTGTCATCAATATTTCATGTGTACCCTGCTCAATGACACTTCCATTATCTAATACATATATTTGATCAGCATTTTGAATTGTAGTCAAACGATGAGCAATAACAATAGTTGTACGACCTATACAGAGTGATATA